TTTGTCGCCTGGGAGTGGAGGCGAGATGGTTTACAGTGGTTGGCAATACACTGACTTCAAATGTGCGGAATCAAGGTCCGTGTCCTCTGAAGCCTGTCCCGTAAAAGTAAGAGCTGGTACAGTAGACATTGCAGGGCGTTGGCTTGCTGACCCGGTGCCATCTCTGTAAGTTGTGAAAGTAAAATGTTAAAAATAAGACTAAAATTTTGTTCTATGACAGAATATGATAGAGGTCAGATGATGTCCTGACCCCATAGATGGTTAATCTTGTTCTCTCTTTTCAAAGAGTCTAAAACTGACAGGATAGGTTGAGAAGACTTTCTGCTATATTTTTCACATTTTCAGTTTTCCAAAGACATTTTTACAGCCATTTGAAATAGAACAACTATCTAAGAAAGAACGGTGAATGCTATGTGGTGTACTACTGTCCTTTTAAAAACTAAAAAACCCAAGGATAATTGCATTGTATTCAGGTGGATAGTTGCAGAAGTAGTTAAGGCTGAATCCTTCCGAACGTGTGTATGTTGGATTTGAAACAGCTTTTTTTTTCTTTCTTTTTTTTTCTGAGCAGTTGTTATTTATTTTTCTTATTGAAAGCCATGTAGGATCAAAGTTTATCCATACCTGCACTGAAAGAAATGACTAAGAACTGTAGCAATGCCCATGTTTCTGAAACTATTGGAGGAAAAAAAACCCACAGCTCCTGGCACAGGCACATTTTGTGTGTCATCTGTTCTGGTGATGCCCTGGCAGTGCTGTTACAGTTTATCCACACTGCCATTATATCCCAGTCCTCAGTGTTGTATAACGAAGTTATGCAAATTTGGTCGAGACTGAAGAATGCCGTTACGACTTTAGTTCTGAAGGATTTTAACCTCAAATTACAGACTCTCATTCAAACCGGCTTGTTCATTAAATTAAATTGTGGGATGAAAGGTTCACGGTGCTCATAAAGCCTTTTTGGTAAGGTCAAATTCTGCCCCTGGCACATAGCAAACAAATGAGCTTAAACTGTAGGGGAATCTTGTAGGCTGTCATTAATGGTTTTCACCAAACCATTAATGTAGCCTCAGGACTGAAGTACCTTGTGTGGCAGCTGGCCTATGTTTAGAAATATAAATGCCTTTGGCTTGATAGGCTAATATAATTGGATAAAGACCACTTTATTAGGAGGAGTTCAAATGAGTCATTGCTACTCAAATTGTATTTGCAGCTAAAAATGAAAGAAGAAAGTTAACTTTGCTTGTACTGTATTTATTTTTTTTTCTAAGCCTGGAAAGGGAAGTCCAAATACTAATAAATGTAAATTTGCTTTAATTCTGCTAATCCTATTCACTACATGGAAAGAAGTTAATTGAAGTCAGTGGGCTGACAGTAGAAAGCACTCGGACCCGCTGACTGAAATGGATGGCTTTCCTGCTTGCTTGGACACCTCTACAGGAGCCACTGGCTAAACTTTGAGGGAGAGAGGGTCTGAGGTAGTTGAAGGGAGAATTGGACTGATGCGAGCCTGCTGGAAAACGTTAGAAGAACGGGACATGAACAGAGAAGTGTGGATGAAACGCAGCAGAAGTACTGGAGAGCAGCACCTTTTTTAGGCACGCATCCTTGGCCTGGCCCCTGGCAGCCCCCCAGAGAGCCCTGGTGCAGGCAGTTGAATAGCCTGTATGCAGTCAATGCTTGCCTTTAGGTGAAAGGTGTATTTTTGTTCAGATTTTAAACCCTGTTGGCAGCTTGCCACAGAGAAAAGGGGCTGTAGCTGAGTAATAATAAATCTCATTCATCCTTGTGGTAAATGGACTGAATAATATTAGTTTACATTTGGAATGCATCTGACCCAGTATCTTGCTGTAAATCTGAAGTTTGTGCTGAACAAAAAGTCAGTATGAGCTATAAATATTTCTCGGTTGCTATTCATAATAGAGATTCGGGACGGAGCACATCACATGTAGAAGAAGTTTCACTTTGCTGAGGTGAGATCTTGTATGATTTTAGCATTAAATGATTTTATTAACAAACGAAGGGTAGCTGTGTTTTGTAAAGGGGGTAATACGTACTACCTGGGAACGATTTCTCAAAGAAGTGTTGTAATTGTCTTGCTGGCTATGCTTTACGTTCCCAGAAAAGGGAGATGGCTATCACATGTTGTAGGCGAAATATGTATTTGTTAACTACTAGCCTAAATCATAACTGCTCAATATGTGTGTGCTGTAGTCCCTTATTCTGGAGAAGGCACGTATTCATGCCAAATTTGGACCAAAATGGAGAAATGATTTGAGGGAAGAATGCGCAATAACAAGCGGAAATGGGTATTGACAGAGTGTATGAAAGGGAGCAGCAGGTAAGCGATTAGGTTTCTTTATCTTCGCAGATAAGGTTGGAGGAGACGGCTGAACCAGGCTGGTTTTCTCTGATACAGAGGGAACACTCGTGTACGTTCCACAAACTTGCAGAATTGTCACTGAAATGCAGAACTGCTGCTCTGGACCACTTCCTCCTATTTAGGAAGGGATGAAGCAGAATTCCCTCTTAAGTTCTTATCCTCTCCCTTCCAGCTCTGCAGATTAACTCCTGAAACCTTCCACAGCTCTGTTAGGTGGAGCTTGCCGTCATCTGGGACTGTTGCGTAGCTGTCGTGTGAGGCAGAATATTTGAGCAGGTAGTTGAATGATGTCATTTGAATGCAGGTTCTTGCAATAATCTTCACGCTTTCCACAGTGTTTGTATCTTCTGTGACTGTGAGATTATGATGTGTGTGTAGGACAAAATGAATGTGTTTTATTGCCGACTTCTGAACTTTGCTTATAAAATGGTAAAGTCGAGGAAAAAAATGCGTTCTCCAAATCTGCACAAAATATGCTTTAATGTACTTAAATTTTAAATCCTTACAAAGTTTGCCTGAAATGCAAAGCTCTCTGGTTGGTGGGAAGAATAATAACTAAATAATTTGCCTTTATTCCAAGCAAGATTTGAGTTGTATTTTTTTTGTTTGTTTGTTTTGGCAAGGTGATTCTGTAGGGATTTGGGGTATGCAAGATATCCCTCTCTGTGTTTATTACCTAAAATATAATTCACCTCCACCACAGCCCTATCCCGTATGTTTTGGTTAAATCTAAAATTAATTCCACAAGGTGGGATGCTGCCTTCTCCTTTTATAAGAGCATAAGTTAATATCCAAATGGAAAAAGCTGTGAAGTTGCTTTGAGATATATGATAAGGAGATTCCCTAGGGTGAAGAAAACAATGCAAAGAAGAACTCATTGTATCAGAAACACTCCTCTGAAAGTAGCAGTGGATTTAGGTTTTGCTGTCGTGTGTTAATTGTCTTCTGGGAGTCCACTGAGAGGCAGCGTTAACTTCCTTGAAATAAAAACGTTTTTAAAATTGTTTGCTTGAAACGCAACTTCTGAAATCTCTTTCAAGAGTGCCAAGTATTAGTATTCTGCTTAGCCTTAAGTTCTCATCGTTTTTTTGGAATATAAGTTTATATTTCTGAACTTGGGAGCTTTTTTTTAGACCATGGTGAGTTTAAATCTACCCCCTGAAGATTTATCCCTATATGCTTCTATTTTGCAGAACACTGGGCATTGAATTTTGGACTTTTCCAAACATACTGGCTGCTTTTTATTGAGCTCAGCATTCCTGAAGCACTGGGGTGCTCTGTTTGCCCCCCCGTCCCTGGGTGTACTGTCAGTGGGATCTCCTTTGTGCATTTTGTTTTGTTAATGTGGTTTTTTGTTTGTTTTTCCTCCCTCAGAGGCAAGAACATATTTTGAACTAAGAAAATGTCTTCAATTTTTTTTTATTGGAATAAGCAGACGGAAGGTCTATTACTGCATTATAGTTTATACCCCAAAGTCTTAATTCCATGTGCTAATTGCTAATAGGACAGACAAAGGCTTTTTAGGTTAAAAAAATACGAAGGCTACAGGCTTTACATGGCTCTATTTTTATTTTAACTAGTTCTTGAGTGGTGTATGTAGCAAATTTCAGTTGTTCAGTAAGGTTGACCAAGATATGACGGGTCAGAACTAGAGCAATAAAAGTCTGTATTTTATTTGTTTAGATCTTAAGCTCTGTGACTTTCATTTTCAGAGTAACAATGATAAGCCAAGATAGGAGTCAAGGTCAAAGTAGTAATTTGTGTTTCTCTTGCTTTTTCTTGGCTTCTGCTCACTTAAGGAAGTCTCAGGCTGTGTGTTTAGTGGAGAGATGTGTTGCTGGACCACACAGGGCTAAATCAGAAGTAAACCTTGTGCCCCTCGAAAGCTGGCTGTGCAAGGAGTCCCAGCAGCAGCAGCTGCTGCTGCACACCGCTGATCCTTTCTTACTGCCTCAAGAAGATTGCTGGGGCAGACCCCGCCTTACTCAAGTGTGACACAGATATGACTCATGTATTTTTCAGTTGTATTCATCTATTTATTGTATTTACTGAAAACAAAGCATGTTCTGTCTGCGGAGTGGAAGTTGCAGATCCTGGCTGACAGAAGAAAGCTAGAAGTGGCTACAGGAGAGGGGAGAGAAGGGCATCCCAGGGAGGCTGCAGTCTCGGGTTTGGAGACTGGAACCATATTGGAACTATTTGGAACCATAATCCATGGTTCTCCAAATATAAAAATAGTTTTAAAAATAACGAGAACTTGTGTAATAGTAACTTACTGATTTAATCTTTTTTTCTTCTTATAGAGCAGCACGCCAGTCTGCTAGCATAGCAGAAAACATTATCTCTGAAATAAGTTTTAGAATAGTTAATTCTATATTTTCTTTTTTCTTCTCTGTAATCTAAAAATCTGTCCAGATTTTAGGTGCTTGGCATCCAAGTATTTGGAAATTTTTTTTAACCTAGTTTCTATTTCAAGTCTTCCTTTCAGTCTGACGTTGAGTCTAGCATATATGCATCCTTCAAGAACTGGAGAAACTGCTTTTTCACTGTTTGGTAGCCACAGTCCTGCTCCCTTTCTGATTTCGGAGGAGAAGAATTAGGCAGTAGTTGCAACAAGTCACGTTCCGGGGATTGCATCAAGATGTACTTGGCACTGCTGGAAAGTCATGCTGGCACAATGCAACCCTTGACAAGGCACGAGTGTTTTGCCCTGGGTTTTGTGCGGTTACATCACAGTCTCTTTTGC